CTTCGACTAAGTTAGCAATCTTTTCCTGTCCCCTTGGGGAAAGCTCATATACAGAACCAGAAATTTTGTCTACGTCTGTCACCCATTTCCTTCCCTCTAGTTGAGAAATTCTAGCACAGATAACAATGGTACATGGACCCTGTACTACACTACAGTTACAATAGTCACAAGTAAGAGTCACTGGTCTTAGAAGAGTCACTGTTTGAGACCGAGTCCTTACTGTGTTCTCCACGTCTTGCTGTCACGACCTTCATAAGTTCTGCAACCTCACTTCGCAATGCCTTCACCTCAGCTGCCACTGCAGATGGAGAATCCGCACCCTTAGAACTAGGTGTCTCTTTGCACAAGGTATCCTGCGCTACATTCACTTGAACCGCTGTCCCTGAACTTCCCGAGCGTTTAGAACGTCGCTCATTCTCCTTCGCAACAATCCTCGTTAAGGAGAGGATGAGGTCCTCATCACTGATACCTTTACGCTCTAGATCTGGTCGGAATTCCTGTCTAATACCCAGTTCATTAAGTCCAGTGTACACAGTCCTTGTGAACAAGCTGTCGACCAAATCCTTCGAGTATTTAATCTCGGAGGTTTCATCCTCACTAGCTGTGATAATTTTATTTCGTAAGTCCATAGCACGAACTAAAAATTCACATGCCCCTTCCTTATGTCCTTGGGTCAACGATTCTAATTCAGAGTAATACTTTGTTGGCGTTTTCTCCATGTAGTGGGAACGTAGGATCCCCTTTAATGTCAAAAGTGTCAATTGCGGTCTACCCTCTAAGTAGTTCCGGAGTCCGGACTTTGTGGGTAAGGCCCTTAATACACCCTCCACTATGTCAGTCCGAGTAGCCTTTCTCTGTGGCTGTGTTGACTTGTCACATGAGACTCTGATAACTTAAGCCAGTTCTGTCCACCACACCACTAACTTTGAACTCCTTTTGTAGGCGGTGAATCCGAGATTAAGCCTGTCTTAACTTCAGTAGTCGGTTCTGTCTTGACCACCACTGTCTGTTTTGTAGGCAGCTTAGGTAGTTCGTCGTCCAGCCACAACATTGTTGTAGTCCGCTTATCCGGATCACTTAGATCACTTTGGATCCATTTTCCTACTAAAGCCACTGCCATTAACCAATCCATTTTGCTGGTATCTTGCTCAGGAACCAAGTTCTGTTCACTGATTATGCTCAACAATGCTGGTAGCTCACACTGGTACAACCGCCCCATCAGCGCAAGTTCCGCCCGTTTATCCGCCATGACGTCTATCGATGTATGTCCACGTTGAATCAACGTTATCCCGGACGAGCCCCCATATGTTACCACGGTTACCGGAACTTGTACCCAGCCAGGCTGAGCTGACGAGTTCTGTAAAGAACAAGGCGAGCGACATTCAGTCAGCGTTGTTACATTTATTCCAACTGGCGCTACGCATGCGCCCTCCGGTCATACTACGGCCGTCTACCAGAGTTACCTCTCTGTATACACTTACTGTACAAAAATTAGCAACCCCCCCCCATAAAACCTCTTGGAATCAACATGTAACAAATCAATATTCCAAAAAGAATACTAAGTGATAGATGCAAGTTGATTTGCACATTAAACCACCTAATCTGGAATCCAATAAGGCTTCTTTGTCCTAGAATCTAACTTGCCATTTCAGTGTTGGTCTACATCGTACGGTTATGAAGTTTAAATGTCCAAGTCGACCATACCTAACACCTTGAATATGATGGTTGGTTGAAAAATCTACATCAATTTTTACTTTTGAATGCAAAGGGTTACTAGTTTACAAATGTATGTAGTATCCTAAATAGTACATGATACTGGCTACATGGGCACATACCCCATGGATCTCTGTCCAGTAGGACACTGGTAATTATAACCCTTTGTGGGGATTAATGGGGTCGGGGCTGTCACATCCAAACATCGTACGTTACACTGCTTTTATGCCTCGAGTGGATCTGACATCGTACAATGTCTCGTGAGTGCCGATAGATCCAGATCTCGTAGTCGATATCATCACTAAAGTGCTCACTCATGTAGCCAGATGTCAATGGTGTTTGGTATGTTCCATATCTAACTTGTGAAAGTCAAAATTATCTGCAGTAGCATCTAGTTTGACAAATATTGACTTGACCTTTTTGGTGAGCTCTGGCTTATTTTTCAAACGATGAGCTAAGTTGTTCTAAGCACTAAGGCGCGCTTTCATTTTGGATTTGAATTTGAATTTAGTTATGGATCTGTCAAGATTAGCTTGTAGGTCGTAATGTTGTGTCTGCCCAGGTTTTAGATAAGACAGTATATTTGTTTTCAAACCACGTGATTCCAAATCTGACTAAACTTCCCTAAACCCTCAATCAACAACGACGTTGTCATCTTTCTCCAGCCAGGAGAGACTATCCATGATGGCTTTTGTTATCGTCGCACCATTCTCGCTTCCAGGAGAAAGTTCTGCTGTGTCCAGAATGTAAAAGTCGGGCAGTGCTTTGCTCATGAACTTCAAATAGTTCCGCTTCTTCTGTCCACAGTAGGATATTCTCTGGAGCATGTGATCAGAACTCTTAGGAATAAAGATATATGTACTGTCACCCACTGGCCAAGAAATGTTTCTGAGAACACAATATTGTGTTCCAGAATATTTTCTCTTGTAAGATGTTCACGTTTAGAGGGTTAAGATCTTTCTCTATGAGAAGATATGGACAAATACGTAAGGACCAAGGGCACCACAGCTTGTGATGAAATGAGGTGGTGTTTTGCGCGGTTAATGATGAAAACGTGTTGAATAGTGGCAATGATGATGTTTTGTGGTATCAGTATAATCAAAGTTATCTTAAGGTTTCGAAATGGAGATGTTCTTGCTCGGGCAAAAGACTCAGCGAGCGTCTCGACAGTGGACACTAGCCTCTCTCCTGTCTGGCATCCGCTCTTTTCTTCTCTCACAGACCAAGAGAGGTCTATTTATACTAAAAATGTTATGAAACTGTTAGTAAAGTAATATTATACATTAGATAACAGGCTAACAAATATTGAGTATTACATGGGAATGGTCGTAGACTAAGTTGTTTTACACTGACCTTCATGAGAACTGCCTAGATAGGGCTCAATAATTATTTATATAAACTGGGAATGAATTAATACATGGACATATGTAGTAGGTTAAGTAACAACGGTATGTCTGTGGCTACTGGTCAATAATTGTCCACTGGTCAGTAATAAATGAAGCTAGTCTCATTCTGGCATTTAAGATTGAAAATCTGACCTATGTCTCACTGGAGACAATTTTGAATAATTCAATTAAATTACATATTCCCTTTTAATATTTCAGTTTGGGCAATGTGGTCGAGTTTTAACTCTTCATACTGGCCATGAAATACATCCTCTATGGATGATGGTAGGAGTTTTCACCACGGTTCGTCAGATGGGTCTTCAAGTCTATTTTCACATAGCTGAAAATTATTCATTTTGAAAAAATGATTGATAAGGGCATGGGCTGCGAATTAAGCCAATGATCTAATAATTTGGAGAAGCCTTTCAAAACTGACTAACAGGTTTGAGCTGGCTGAACGAATTTACTAAGTAAGTTGACCTGCATCTTTGCGGGATTAATTCCCTTAGTATGAACATGCAGAGTGGAAATTTAATTGAAGGCCAGAAGTATCTAGGAATACGGAATTCTGTTTTGTGGTGATTAGAATTATTCATTACGTTTTGATTATCGAACGACATAGTTGTAGAGGTTCAAACTTGGTAGGTGACCAGCAGGTCTGAATTCATAAAAGTTCGGGGGTAGTTGCGATAATAGGATGAATGTAAAAAGAAAATAAAGGGGATGGAGGGGGAATCAAATACTCTAAATCATACAAAAAATCAATATTAGTCAATATCATTCAATAACAATCTACACTAGGAAATAAAATCTTACAGAGAATTTACGATAAGCACATCTAAGAAATAATGGGATATAGGGAATATACCTAAAAGTCATTGGTTACCACTGTTAGTACTGGAATACTTGTCTTCTAATCTGACATAATCATCACAAGAAGATGCCACTCAAGTGACGGGGTTGGAGGGCCTAAGATTATACAGTTAGGGCTAACCCTCGTCTGGCCTGACACAGCACATAATCATAACAATGTATACACTATATAGATGGGTTATAATAAAATCGGTGGAATTAACTAATGTAGCGACATCAATAAATAAACGAAACCGAATTAAATATCATGCCACAGCACAAACCAAGGGTAACGTACAAAGGATTTTACCGACAGTCTTTATGAAACTTTTTCTCTCAGTTTGTCCGAAAGTGAAAGTGAAATAAGTAGCAAGGAAACTCTACACAAGACAATAATTCTTCCAGTATTAATCAAAAAGTCACAAACTTGTTACAATATCTGATTACAATTAAAACTGAAATAACACCGTCAGGGACTATATGGTTCATACATACAAGACCGTCTTCTCTAGCAATAATGTCAAAAGTCTAACAGCCATTTTGTGTTTCTATCAGTCTCACCAATTTTTCAGCAAAGGTAAAAACAAAATCCGGGATGGTGGCTTGTGTTTTAATCCCAACTTTGAATGTGCACCACAAGAAGCAAGGAAACCTATATATATATATATATATATATAGACTTCCAAAGAAATATCCTTTTAGTACTTTCAGTACTTTTATTAACACTGTGTACATGTATGCCACGCTACGTGCTCATTCTTGAATCTGTGATTTTTCATCATGATCTACTGTAGTCTTATGTATGGTTGCATAACTCTGTTCCATTTGTTGATATATATATATATATATATATATAGGTATGATATTTGTTTGATGAAATACAAGCTCATTCGAGTTATGACCACCGTTGCCATACAGTAATACTTCGTGGAAAAGCACCGACGTAGGTGCGTGGAGACCTGCCCACTTTTCCAGCCAATGAAATGCAATGTTAAGGTCAGCAGTGAGGGCAAGGTCATATAAACAAGTGCTTCCATTCAAAAGACCAAGATCAGCGGAAGGACGCAGATGTTCCTGGTACCAGACACCCGAATCATCACCCACACATTATGTAAGTATTGTTAGCTGTTTGTTATAAAGTCATGTAGTGAAATCCGATTTATTTTAGTGTTTCTTGGAAACGGCATGTTTCCCGCATGATGCAATGAGAACTCCCAATGAATATCGTGAGCTCGGGATCAAATTACACCGATCATTGATCTGATCTTGTTATAAGGGGGTCGGTCACACCAGATATAAGCGGTGGATCAGTGAACATAATGTCTAACTGTTATATAATGTTGAAGGAAGCAAACAGAGTGGTAAATACATCAGGTGTCGGTATGTCTACCACTGTGCTAAGTTGACAACTTTTTCAAAAAAACATAACCGTGTTTACGTGGACAGTGTTGATATTGCACTGTGAGGACGTGGGGGTTCTATATAAGGAAAGATTGCTGTGTTTACGAACAAGTGTACATTAATAAGAGATAAGGATATAGGAATTTCAGATTATGATGGTTTACTAACTTTATCCTGCCCATCCCTTGATCTCCGATAATTTTTTCACATCACTTTAAATCAATGGGAGTTTGGTAGCCATGTTTATACATATAGATACAGGGGGCCCAGACTAAACTCAGCAGCAGTTTTCAATCAGTACAGCTGTACACCAACTTTCACTTGTTACATGAAATGCATGTACAACAATAATTGGTAATAACATTATTTAATCCTCTACAACCTACTGAGCCGGGGATCCTATCCCATCGTGTTGACAAAATTACATACATATTAAACATAATGCTAATTAGTATTGAGTATATGTGTTATGTAAAACAGCTATATGAAATATCAATAAGCATGCTTGCAATATGCCTAAATAACTGATAAGGAAAATATAACTTAGAGAATACATTTAAAGGACATCATTTTGAACTTCTGGGAATTTTTAAAAGCAAAGCGGGAACTTGCAGGCATTACAGACTCTTTAAAACAGTATAGTAATAATTGATATCTGTCAGTTAATACAGAGAAAACAAAAAATGTTGTATTTAAAATGGTGGAAGATTACGAGCTGATGAGAAATTCTATTTCAACGAATGTGAAATAGAAATTATTGACAGATTTAAATATCTTGGTGTATTGCTTAATGTTAATGGTAAGGTTACAAAAACTCAGTTCACAATTGCTGAGCAAGGTCGAAAATATTTGTAAAATGTATTAAGAGCTTTTAAGAATTTGTCACTCAATGTAGAATCAAAACTCAACATTTTTTATATATATGTTGCCCCTGTTCATAATTATGGTTACGAAATATGGGGCATAAATGCCGCGAACACAGTGGCAATGTACATGTTGATTTTTTAAACAATCCTAAATTGAAAAAACAAAACAGTACGCCATCTTTTATGGTATACTCGGAATTACGACATCTGCCTATGAATATAATCAGGAAATGTAGAATAATGAAATATTGGTTGAAATTAATTAAATGTAATCATTGTGTCCTTAAGTCAATTTAAGAAGAAAAGGAAGAATGTAACAGAAACTGTAATTGGTGTTGTCAAGTTAAGGAACTATTTTTGTCCTCTGGTTTTGGTAACGTCTGGTTAACTCATTATGTTGGTAATAACAAAGTATTTTTATGTTGTTTTAAGCAGCGTTTGATTGATAATTTTATTCAAATAAGGAATGATTTTGTTGAGCGGTCATCAAAATGCTAATTGTATAAATTCCTGATGTATAGTTTTACATTGCAGTTTTATTAAACAAAGTCTATCCCAGATGTATATCGAAATGACAACTTTCATCCCATCAGTTTATATAATTAGAAGAAAGGTCATTATCATAATATTCCGAGAGAGATTAAGTTATGTTGGTTTTGTAATAAGAAAACAAGTTCTATTTTGTTCTGATTTGTCTACTATATGTAGATTTTGGTAAAAGGTTCATTAAAAAAGTATTATTGGAACCATCCATCTTCATATTAACTTGTCCAGCTGCTATCTGTACGTAACAGAACGGAAATTTGTAACTAAGGAAAGTATCTACAATTAAGGTTATTAGTACGGTCTAGATTCCAATTTTAACTTATTGTCTTTTCACTGTAATTAGCACTGCATGAGTATTTGTTTATCTGCGAGCTCGAGGTCACATGGACACTATGACGTCACTGGTGGCCTCATCGAGGGGATTTCCCTTGTAAACTATGAGATGTATGTCCTATTCTTTCATGTGTTCTCGAACAGGGACACATATTTGAAAGTATCTGATGCTGACACATAAGAGACAGACTAGCCTGTCTTTACAAAGCAATCAGAGCATAATAATAGGAGAAATTTGACAACTGACTAATACACCATTTGACACAATACCTGATCTGTAGGTCTCTATCCAATGAACAACATCGAGATGAGAAAATTTATGTATCTAATCCGGCAATTGTCATCAATATTAACAAGTATGTTATCATCAGTTATTTTAATTTTTGAAAATGATATTCATCAGACTGATCTAATAAATGACATGTCCATTTCTATGATGTACTAATACTGCTATTACATAACTGGAAAACTTGGGGACACTGAATACAGGTAAAGAATAATTGTAATTAGGATGTCAACTGTCACTTCTCAAGTAGTTATTTATAAATGTAATATATATCATATACATGTTATAGTTAGTTAAAAAGTACATATATCTGAATACTAGAGACCTGGTGGAGTTGTCATGTAACATGTGTTTAACTGTTCTGTTGATGTTTCATTTTGTGTAAATATGGTTTTAGTTTTATTGGAAAGTTTAATATTTTTCACGTTTTTTTTTATCAATATATAGTTAAGTTAAACAAGTACTTTGCACTGATGAAATCAACATGTGTTGATCTGTACATTTTGTTATTTCGCAGCCTCATCCACCTCTTTGCAACTTTCATTAATTCAACTGATTGTATACAAATGGTTAATCAGCTAAGTGTATTCATACCTAAGATACTTTAATACTCTTCTAAAACTGTTTTTAAAAGAACATATAATTTGCCAGTTACTTCTACAGCAGCCTTACAGCAAAACATACTTTTCTAGAAAGTAAATATTTAAATTGTTTAAATACAATGTATTCATTTTTTTTTCAAAAAAAGACATTACGCTCTCTAACATATTCCAGCCTGGTGTATAAATACACGGTGTGACAGAATGTTGATTGTTTAATGATGGCAACTGCTCTATTTTATTTTCTTTATCATCTTTATCAAATCATCAAATGAAATGACTGTGTTTGACACAGAGCTTTAAATGAATCTTTGATATTTATCAATATTCTCACAAGGTACATCAGTCACTTGTGACTCAACAAATGGTACTGATAAAAATTCTGAAGACACAAACACACACCTGTAAACATGACATTATAACATGGGAGATGATATGCAGTTTTTTTTACATGAGCAAATGAATACATACATGATATTACCTTGCTGCAACGGTATATAGAATAACAATGTAAATTTGAAAGAAAACTACAATTATTATCTATGAGATATTTGTACATTTTGAATTTTTTCCATTTGATTCACAAGTAAAAGATGTTGAATATCTGAAACAAATGCACATATTTTGGCATCTATGATACAGCTGTCGTCACATCATTCCCATGGATAATGAGATATGATAAGATATGGGACCGGCAGGTCACAACCAATTCAATTGAGAGTCTGGTTATTTAAATGACAATGTTCAATACCAGTGATTGCAAATTTCATGATAAGAGGTTTTGTCATGCCCGTCCTTACTATTTGACACATATACATCATGTTTCACATTTTCCTCGGTCGTTTGTTTACAGGAAGTTTGCCAAATAATGCAGCGACCTCTCACTATAGAACACGCTGCTCCATTGACAACACAATAAAAATATCACTTTGTGTTTGTTGTTCTATCTCCCAGCATGATTTAGAAAAAAAATGTATTAAATGTCAACATGAAGTTAGATTTACACACACAACACTGGAGGTAAAATGTATTATTGTGTCAACATGAAGTTAGATTTATACACACAACACTGGAGGTAAAATGTATTATCGTGTCAACATGAAGTTAGATTTACACACACAACACTGGAGGTAAAATGTATTATTGTGTCAACATGAAGTTAGATTTACACACACAACACTGGAGGTAAAATGTTTTATCGTGTCAACATGAAGTTAGATTTACACACACAACACTGGAGGTAAAATGTATTATCGTGTCAACATGAAGTTAGATTTATACACACAACACTGGAGGTAAAATGTATTATTGTGTCAACATGAAGTTAGATTTACACACACAACACTGGAGGTAAAATGTATTATCGTGTCAACATGAAGTTAGATTTACACACACAACACTGGAGGTAAAATGTATGTATTACGTACACACACAACACTGGAGGTAAAATGTATTATTGTGTCAACATGAAGTTAGATTTATGCACACAACACTGGAGGTAAAATGTATTATTGTGTCAACATGAAGTTAGATTTACACACACAACACTGGAGGTAAAATGTATTATCGTGTCAACATGAAGTTAGATTTACACACACAACACTGGAGGTAAAATGTATTATCGTGTCAACATGAAGTTAGATTTACACACACAACACTGGAGGTAAAATGTATTATTGTGTCAACATGAAGTTAGATTTACACACACAACACTGGAGGTAAAATGTATTATTGTGTCAACATGAAGTTAGATTTACACACACAACACTGGAGGTAAAATGTATTATACACACACAACACTGGAGGTAAAATGTATTATCGTGTCAACATGAAGTTAGATTTACACACACAATTGTGTCAACATGAAGTTAGATTTACACACACAACACTGGAGGTAAAATGTATTATCGTGTCAACATGAAGTTAGATTTACACACACAACACTGGAGGTAAAATGTATTATTGTGTCAACATGAAGTTAGATTTACACACACAACACTGGAGGTAAAATGTATTATTGTGTCAACATGAAGTTAGATTTACACACACAACACTGGAGGTAAAATGTATTATCGTGTCA